CGAGACCCCTCTGCAAGGGGATCTCCATTGCAAGCTCCATCTTTAGCATACCATCCAAACTCCTGCGCTGCCACAGGGAAAGCAGAATGATTAAAATCAACCTGACCGGGAAAAGCCCTGGGGGTGTAGTGGTTACAGGTTGGGCTGCAATCCAAGAGGTCTGCAGTTCCAAAGCACCAGCCACTCCATGGGAGAAAGATGGGGCTTTCTATTCCCTTGAAAAGTTGGTCTTGGAGACTCACAGAGCCACCTCTACCCTGTCCTATAGGGTCATTATGATAAGTCACCATTGATTTTTTGAACAAAGAAAGGTGCGGCTTTCTATTCCTATAAAGAGATACATTCTCAGAAAGTCACAGGGGACAGTTCTACCCTATCCTGTAAGGTAGCTTTCAGTCTGAATTGGCTCGATGGCTGCGACTTTGTTGTTGTTTGTGTTTTAACAGCACCATAGGAGAAAGGTCTGGTCATGTGTTTCCTTAAAGATCTGCAGCGAAGAAAATCCCACAGGGGCACTTCTACTTGATCCTACGAGGATGCTGTGCCTGGACAGTTCTTAACAACAACAACAACAACAGCATGCAAATGCTACAGAAAAATTCCCTGAACCAGTTAATACGGGGGAAAGAACACACACCCCCCAAACAAAAAAAAAAGGCATAGCCGGTTCACAAAAATACTTCGTCAGGATTAGCACAGTTGACGATGTGCTTGTTAACTGGGTGAAAAGGCAGTAGATCAAAATCCCTAAGGCAGTATTGTACAAAAGGTCCAAAACTCTTCAACTTCATGTATCTCTCTCCTTGCTTCAATATTCTTACACGCCAAATTTCTACCAGGTCCTGTGTGATCTGACACATGCAGATCCTCTGCAGCTTCATAGCCTCACTCTGTTGGAATCGCACTGGTGTTCATTCTGTTCTTTGAAAACAAGTCTGTTCCTGTCTTAGGGCCTTTGTCCTAGCTATTACATCTGCCTGGAATGCTCTTCATCTAGATTCCGCCCCCCCTCCCAAAAGTGTTAGTCTTTTTTCATTATCCAGGTCTCAATTCTTATGCCTATTCTCAAAGAGACCTTTCCTGACCACCCAGCTTAAGGCAACTCCCAGTTAATCTCAATCTTTGCATCATCAGATGCTGTCTTCCCTCACTAGACTGGAAGCCCAATGCAAGTAGGGACTTTATTGGTCTTGCCCAATATTGTATTCCCAACAGTTCAAACAGTGGATGAAACACAGGCCTGTTTGATGTCCACCTGAATAGAGCGAGGGCTGGAACCCAGGTCTGCCTAGCTCCAAAGCCTCGCCCTTAACCCTGGTGCCTTTAAAAATTTCAAGTCTTCAGCTTACCAGAGCCTCCATTGTAGAACTCAAAAACTAGAAAACTGCAATCTGACCCTATCCACCTTGCAAAAAAAGCAAAACATAAATTATAACTATTATCTGTAACAAGAACTTTATCTCTGGGATGGATTTAGTATCCTCTAACATTTTGGGGGGGCTTAATGTTGGTTTTCTTTCTTTCATTTTCAAAAGAGAAAGGCATATTTATGAGCTGCCCTCGCACTTAATCATCTTTGACTCTTTGTACTGTGAGCCTTTTCCTAATTCCCAGGGAGCCCTGTAAATTTCTCAGATGGTCTCTTATCTCTTTAGACATTCCCACAGCACTTTATCACCACAACACTTTGGTAATAAAGTAGTGATGGCAGAGCTATGACAAAATATTGCAATTTTAGATTCCAAACACCTTGCCGATGTGAGATACTTTATCTCTCTTTTATGCCTTTGACATGCTAAGTGTTACTGTACACTTTCCAGTGTGCCCTCCATTTTATGGTGTATAGCACAGACAAGTTTTCAGAAGGACAAGATCAAGAAGTGTTATGGGAGGATACAGTTGGAGGCTGGTGTAGAATAGAAAACAGAGAGACAAAGGAATACTTTATCTAATATGGAGTCTTCTATTTCTTGGGGTCATAGATGATTTCTGTATGCATCTCAATACCTTCCTGTAGTTTTCCCAAATGGTCTTCAATGAACATACATAATTAGTAAGAGGCAAAAACAACCCATAATGTTACCTTTTAAAAGTCCCCTCCTACAAGAAAAAGGACAAAACAGGCATTGCCAAAGTGCATGTGGCATCTATTGGGAGCTGGTAACAAAAGCCAGTGCCTGTTTGGATATCCTGTCAACATGGTTGTGGACCAAACTTTCCAGACCTCTAACTTGGAGCAGTTCTATTCTGCACATCTAGGGTTGCCATGAATTAAAATCAGCTCTACAGCAACTGACACCAATGGTAAAAGCATGAAGCAAGGATATCCAAGGCAGGAAAGAAACCCCAATAACAGGTGAACAAAAGTATAAGAAGCAGAAGCTAAGGTTTTTTTTAAGGAACTCAGTGTAAGAAGGCAAAGGTACATAAACTTTGCGGCCAGGGTATGGCACCCCATCATATTCAACCAGAAAACACTCCTAAAGGTCAACAGGCCTTGAACTATTTACAGGCTTTTCTTTTTTTGTCATTGGTTTTTCATTATTGTTGTTTTGTTTTCTTTTGTTGCTTTGTTTTGCTCTGTCTTGTTTTTATGCATATTATTATCTCTGCAGGTCTATCTAGATAAGATAGGCGGGATGAACAATCTGGCAATCTGGAGGAGAAAACAAGAGGGATGGGGGTAGGTGGGGGAGGGAGAGGCAGGAGAACGGAAGAGAGTGTTAACAAACCCAGGGACAAGGGAACAACAAGTTATCTAGAATCGATGGTGAGGAGGGCATAAGATGCCTGGTAGGGTTTAAGAGGAATTACTGAAAGCCGAATAAAAGTTGAACATGATAGTGGAACAACAGGAAAATAAAAGGCAATAGAGGAAAGAACTAGGAGGCAAAGGACATTTATAGAGGTCTAAATACAGGCATGTACATATGTAAATATATTTATATATAACGACAGGGAAATAGATCTGTGTACATATATTTATATGTTAAGTAAAGGTAGCAGACGGACATTGGGCCTCTACTCAAGTATACTCTCAATGAAAGAACACTTTGTTCTATTAAACTGACATTCCATGATGCTCACCCAACACGATCACTGAAGACAAAGCAGGTACGTAAGCAAATGTGATGAAGAAAGCTGATGGTGCCTGGTTATAGCCTCTGGGGTCTTAAAGACTTGGTGATAAACAAGTGGCCATCTAGCTGAGAAACAAGAGAGCCCACATGGAAGAAGCACACCAGCCTGTGTGATCACAAGGCGTCGATGGGATCAGGTATCAGGCATCAAAGAACAAAAAATCATATCATTGTGAATGAGTGGCAGTGCAGAGTGGAGACCCAAAGCCCATCTGTAGGCAACTGGACATCCTCTTACAGAAGGGTCATAGGGAGAAGAGCCAGTCAGGGTGGAGGGTAGCAACTATGAAACATACAATCTTCCTCTAGTTTTTAAGTGCTTCCTCCCCCCGACTATCATGATCCCAATTCTACCTTACAAATCTGGCTAGACCAGAGGATATACACTGGTACAGATAGGAACCGGAAACATGGGGAACCCAGGACAGATGAACCCCTCAGGACCAGGGGTGAGAGTGGTGATACCTGGAGGGTGGAGGGAAGGTGGGGTAGAAAGGGAGAACCGATCACAGGGATCTACATATAATCCCCTCCCTGGGGGATGGACAACAAAAAAGTGGGTGAAGGGAGACCTTGGACAGTGTATGACATGGCAAAATAATAATTTATAAATTATCAAGGGTTTGCGAGGGAGTGGGGAAATGAGGAGCTGATACCAAGGGCCCAAGTAGAAACAAAATGTTCTGAGAATGATGATGGCAACAAATTTAT